ATTTGTAGTAGAACGTAATAGAATAGTAGTTTGTACTACTACTACTACTACTACTACTACTACTACTACTACTACTACTACTACTACTACTACTACTACTACTACTACTACTACTACTACTACTACTACTACTACTACTACTACTACTACTACTACTACTACTACTACTACTACTACTACTACTACTATTACTACTACTACTACTACTACTACTACTACTACTACTACTACTACTACTACTACTACTACTACTACTACTACTACTACTACTACTACTATCAGCAGTCGTAGCAGTAGTGCTAGCGGTAACAGTTGCAGTAACAGCTGTCGTAGCTGTATTCTTTATAGTAGTTCCCAGCCATCCTGCGGTGTAGGGTCCTCGTGTTGAAGAGACAGCGCCCCGCGTTCCTTCCTTCCTCCTCCTCTCCTCTTCCTCCCCCTCCTCCCCTCCCTTGCCTCTGCTCTCCGCATGCCCACAATTTCGGCACACCCCTCACTCGGATCGTGGTCCCATAGGCAGCTCCACCGAAGGCCCCAGTGGCACAGGCTGCATGAGCCCGACGCCCATGTTGGCACACCCCTCACACGGGTCGTGGCCACACACGGAGGTCCACCGAAGGCCCAGTGGCACAGGCCGCATGCGCCCGACGCCCTCACTTTGGCACACCCTTCACACGGTTCGTTGCCCCAAGAGGATTTCCACCGACGGCCCCAGTGGCACAGTTCGCATGCGCCCGACGCCCATTTTGGCACACCCTTCACACGGCTCCTGGCCCTATAGGGAGCTCCACCGAAGGCCCCAGTGGTACAGTTCGCATGCGCCCGACGCCCATGTTGGCACACCCCTCACGCGGTACGTGGCCCCATAAAAGAGCTCCACCGAAGGCTCCACTGGCACAAGCCGCTGGCGCCCGATGTCCCCAGTTTGGCACAGTTTTCGTACGCATCGTGGCCCCATGGGGAACACCGAGGGCCCCAGTGGCACATCTTGGCTCCAGCGACCGCACGCCGCGCCTCCGCCTCGGCCGTCCTGCTCGGGATGGCTGGCCCGCGCGCGGTTACAGGGGCGAGGGCTGGGGTGGACGGGGTGGCCCTGGTGGCTGCCGCTGTCCGCGAAACCGTCGAGGCCAAGGCGCCTCGGCGAACGGTGGCTGCTGTGGCGCGGGGCGCTGTAGCGGTGGCCCTTCGGGCCGCGGCACCCCTGCCGCCGCCTGCGGCCGCCAGCGCTGGGGCGGATGGCCGCACAGATGGCGCATCGGTTGCGAAACGGGAGCGGCCGCGGCGGCGCCGCGCTCGTCTCGCTGAAGGGCGCCGTGCTGCTCGTGATGCTGTTCCTGGAACCGGTCGCGCCGGCATGCCTGCCCCTCCGGAGGGCGGCTCTTGGCGGCGACGCTCCCATGGGCGACGGCTTCGACGACAGTGACGGGGCCATCGACGACTCCTGGGCCGACACCCTGCCCGTCCGCGGGCCGCGTCCACTTTAGGAGGAGAGGCGGGGGATTTCGTGGCTGCTGCTGGCGCGGGCGGTTCGGGCTCTGGTTCGGCCGCTGCGACGGCGGCGCCTGCGGATGCTGTGGTGGCCCTCGTGGGCGCCCCTGGCGGGGCGGCGGCGGCGGAGGCGGCGGATCCAGCTCGCGGAGCTGGAGGAGCTGCTGGAACTGCGGGGTGCAGCCTCGAGAGCGGCGGCCAGGCTGGCGGTGCCGCGCGGCAGCGTCGCGGGCCCAGGTGTCCTCGGACGAAGGCGGCGGCGGAACTGGGTGCGGCGCTCGCGGTGGCGGCGCCTGCTGCTTTCGGAGCTGCGGCTTCCGAGGTCGGCCCTGAGGAGGTCTTCGCGGTTGCCGACGGCCTCCTCCGCCAGGCGGCTGACTTCGAGCCTCGGCTCCGCGTGCAGCTTCGGCAGTTGCTGGAGTCCGTGAGCTGGGGGCCTGCCGGCGCTGTTTAGTCCGCGTTCGCGAGTGGCGCGACTGGCGCCTGGTGGCTCCTTCCGCCATTGGCTTCTGCCCTCTTTGGAGGGTGGCGCGGCCTGGAGGGTGCCCCGCGGGGGTGCCCCAGGTGACGCCGCAGACTTCAGCGGAGCAAGCCGAGCATTCGTCAGCCTCGGCCTCTGCGGTAGCGGCGGGGTCAAGGGGAGTGCCTTCAGTGGTCCAGCCCTTCCTGGGGCTGGCACGGCCAGGTGGGCGCCCCGTTGTGGGCGCCCCTGGTGACGGCGCGCGCCCTGGAGTCACCTAAGACTTGAACTCGCGCCGCGCGAGCCTGGGGCGCATTTTCTTATAAAACATGGCACCAGTGGCACAGGCCGCACGCGCCCGACGCCTCCATTTTGGCACGCCCCTCGCAAGGTGCCGCGGCCACTGGGAGCTCCACCAGAGGCCCCAGTGGCGCAGGCCGCGCGCGCCAGACGCCCCATTGTGGCACGCCCCTCGCACGGTCCGCGGCCCCAGGGGGGGCTCCGCCGACAGCTCCAGCGGCGCAGGCCGCGTGTGCCCGACGCCCATGATGGCGCGCCCCTCACGCGGCACGTGGCCCTAATTACCAAGAGCGTGCGCCCGACGCCCATTCTGACGCACCCCGCGCGGTTCGTGGCCTCATAGGGGGCCCCGCCGAGGGCCCCAGTGGCACAGGCCGCGCGCGGCCGACGCCCCCATTTTGGAGCGCCCTTCACGCGGCTCGCGGCCCCATGGGGAGCTCCACCGAAAGCTGCACCCACGACGCGGTACTCGCAACTGCGCGTGGTTGGGTCCTTCGCCTGGATAATTGTAGTACTTACGCGCAGGATATAAGAGTTTTCTTCCCAGCCATCCTGCGGCGTTGGGTCCTAGTTTTGAAGAGACGGTCCCCGCGTCCATCCTCCCCTCTTCTTTTCTCCTTTCCTCGTCCTCCTCCTCGTCCTCCTCCTCCTCCGCCTCTCCCCCCTGCTCTCTCCTCTCGTCGCCCTTTCATTTGGGCGCGCCCCTCGCGCGCGTCCTGGCCCCATTGGGAGCTCCATCGAAAGTCCCAGTGGCGCAGTTCGCGCGGCGGCGCCGCCCGATTTTGGCCCTCCCCCCCGCGCGTTTCGTGGCCCCATAGGGAACTCCACTAAAGGGCCCCGTGGCGCAGTTCGCACGGCGGCGCCGCCCCGTTGCGGCACGCTCCTCGCGCGCTTCGTTGCCCCGTGGGGAGCTCCACCTGAGGTCCCTGTGGCGAACTGCGCATGGCGGCGCCGACCCATTTTGGCACGCCCCCCATGCGTTTTCGTGGCCCCATAGGGAGCTCCACCTAAGGTCCCAGCGGCGCAGTTCGCGTGGCGGCGCCGTTCCATTTTGGCACGCCCCTCGAGCGCTGCGTGGCCCCATTGGGAGCTCTAGACCTTCTTTCGGCCCTGTGGACACTCGCCTTGGGCCGTCGCCTGTCCGGCGCGCCGCCCCTTCGGTCGACGTCGCCCAGGCGTGATCCTGGATTGCGGCCGCCACGAGGTCGGGAACGGCAAGAAGGAGGGCGACGACTGGCGGCTGGAGCTCAATGCGCAGCTCTCGCGCGCAACCCGCCACGAGGACCTCCTGCTCGTGCGGGCGCCGCGCATCGAGCTCTTCTTGGCAGGGGCGCCGGAGGGCTTGCGGAAGCAGCTGGGGCAGTTTGCGGCGCGCGCAAAGCGTTGCAGAAGGGGGGCGACGGCCCTCGCCGAGCGGGGCTTCATTGAGTTTATCAGCAAGGCTTGACCTGAGGAGCGGCCCGCCCGAGTCGCGCCTTCTCTCGACTGCCCAGTTGTTTGGCCTCGCGCCGCGGCCGGCACGCGCGCGTCGCTGGGGCCCTTTCGGGGCGACCAGCGCGCGTCGCGGGAACTCCGCGCGCCGTGCGGCGCTCTGCCCAGCGCCTTGCTCGCCCGTCGTCGTTCTGCCCAGCGGTCGGATCCTTGCCCGCCGCCGGCCAGCCAGCTGGCCCTCTTTGCTCCGCGCCGCGGACGACCCGTGCGCGTCGCTGGGGCCCCTCTCGGGGCGACCGGCGCGCGTCGCGGGAATTCCGCGCGGCGCTCCGCCCGGCGCCGCGCTCGCCCCTCGTCGCTTTGCCCGGTGGCCGGATGCTTGCCCGCCATCGGCCAGCCAGCTAGCTGTCTTTGCTCCGCGCCGCGGACGACCCGCGCGCGTCGCTGGGGCCCCTTCGGAGCGACCGGCGCGCGTCGCGGGGATTCCGCGCTGCGCTGCGCTTGCAGCCTTGGGCCTTGGAGCTCAGGGGCGAAGAGGGAGAGAACAAAGGGAGGAAGCGGGCGCGATCCTCGCGGGGGTCGTGCCGACACGGGCGCCGCGATGCGGGGCGCTGCCATCGGGGCTTCGGGGGAGCCCCTTGCGGCATCCACGTTCGGTGCCACGAGTTCTCAGAGTCAGGCGTGCCCAAACCGTTCACATTCATATGTATTGATAGTAGGTGTAGCCATGTTCGCATCCATGCGAATAGATTCATTCGCGCGCAAACTCATTCACGATCATACGCATTCGCGCTCAAACTCATCCGCGCTCAGCCTGTCGTACGCAGACCAATCGTCTTCGTTCGCGTTGTGTACCACGCCACACATTTCGGCACGCCCCTCATGCGGTTCGTGGCCCCATAGGGAACGCCACATAAGACGATATTCGCAATTGCGACACTCGCAACTGCATGTGATTGGGTTTCTCGCCTGGCGAATTTCAGGGCTCATCGATATCGCAATGTGTGTTATGTTCGTCCTTCTCTTTCTTGTCTCTTTTGTGTCGCTCTTCATCCCCCTCCCCTTCCTTCTCTTCTTGGCACCGTTTTTCTTCTCCTCCTCCTCCTCCTCCTCCTCCTCCTCGTCGTCCTCCTCCTCCTCGGCCTTGTATTTGTCGTAGGCCGCCCCCCCAGCGCAGAGCCCAGACGTCAGCGCCCAGGCTCCCCCTGGTTCACCGCTTCTTTGTCGCGAAAGCCTTTTTTTCTCGCCCGGAATGCATTCCGCGGGTCAGCAGGCCACCTGCGGTGCGGGCTCGGCAGCGCCCTCCGTCCGCCGCGCGCAGGCGGCTCGCCCTTCGACTACATTATCGTCGAGCTCAGCGGCGTGGCGGAGCCCCAGCGGGTGGAGGACATGTTCAAGGACTCGCCACGAAGGGAGTGGCGACGACGACGACGACGAGGACGACGAGGACGACGAGGACGACGACGATTGCGACGACGGCGACGGCGCCGCGGCGGCGGCGACGTCAGGGGGTCCTGAGGGCAGCGGGCCCTGCAGACTCTTCGCCGTTCGCGGGTTCCTTGGGCCCTCCCTGGGGCCTCGTCCCGTGCGCCTGGGCTGTGAGAGTCACGACTCGGGATGAAATGCTCGTCCTGGGGGAGCACCTCTGGGACCAGGACTCCGTTCACCTCAGGGCCGTTTCCTTCATGCCAAGAGACGCCCCCTTCACCGACGTCGCCGCCGTCGCCGTCGTCGGCGTCGTCATCGGCGTCGGGGGGGGGGAGAGTGGGAGGACAGGGCTAGGGGAACGATGACGAGGAGGGGGATAAGGGAGGAGGAGGGGGGCGGAGAGGGGGCGGGAAGGAGAGGATGGGGAGGGGAAGGCCGAGGAGGGAAGGTGGGAGGAGGGGTAGGAGGACACGTTCGATGACGCTTCTGTTCCCTCCTCATTCTTCTGGTGCGTCCCCCTCGGTTTTGACCTCCTTCCGCTCCTCCGCCGTCCTGCTTTTCCTCCTCTCCTCCATTTTTTTCCATATGAATTTGTCGCCCTGTCGCATCCCGAAGCCAGACAGGAAAGCGGGCCGGGCGTTTCGCTTGAAATTTCCTGTTACTTCTGAGCCTCAATGTGAAACATCGGCAACAGTTTCACTGATTGAGGGCCACCATGCGCTGTCAGCGACCGCCGCCGTCGTCGTTGTCGTCGTCGTCGTCGTCATCGTCGTTGTCGTCGTCGCCGCCACGTCGTCGTCGTCGCCGTCGTTGTCGCCGTCGTCGTCGCCGTCGTCGTCGCAATCGTCGCCGCCGTCGCCGTCGTTGTCGTCGTCGTCGTCGTCGTCGTCGTCTCTGGCCGTCGCCGTCGCCGTCGCCGTCGTCTTTGCCGTCGTGGCGTCGCCGTCGTCGTCGTCGTCGCCGTCGTCGTCGTCGTCGTGGTCCGTCGTCCGCGCACGGCTCCGATCGCTGCCGCGGCTTCAGACCTAGCGCCTTGGCAGGGACGGCTCCAATTCTCCGCCTGGGGGCCGCGATTCCGCTTCGGTCCGATCAAATTCATGATTCACTGGCAGCGGCACTGGCCAGCCGTCGCCAGGAGCGGCGATTCGATTGCAATTCGATCCGGGACGTCGTGGTCGTCGTCGCCGATCCCGCTCTGGCCTGCCCCCGGGGGGGAGGACCCAGCTATGGCGGGGCTCCTGCAGGGCTGCCAACTCTCCAAGGCGCCCCGCGGGCCGCCGCAGCAGACCCGCCGTCGTCATTGCCGCCGCTGGCGACGACGACGGCGACGGCGACGGCGACGGCGACGACGACGGCGACGGCGACGACGACGGCGACGGCGGCGGCGACGGCGACGGCGACGGCGACGGCGACGGCGACGGCGACGATGACGACCACGACTTGTGGTTATCGTCTTCGTTCGAGGTCGGAGGATCGTCGCCCCCCCTGTAGTTTTTCGTCCTCTTTGGTGCTCTTCGGTGCTCTTCGTCGCCACGGCGGCTGGATCCGGGTTGAGCGGCGGACGGGTCAAGGTGGACCTCGGGATGGGGTCAGGGCTGGACGGAAGCCCCGTCATCGCAGCCGCCGTTTTCCTGCCGCCGCCGCCGCCGCTGCCGCGGCCGCCGCTGCCGCGGCCGCCGCCGCCGCCGCCGCCGCCGCCGTCGTCGTCGTCGTCGTCGTCGTCGTTGTCGTCGTTGTCGTCGTTGTCGTCCGTCGTTGTCCGTCGTCGTCGTCGTCGTCGTCGTCGTCTGTCGTCGTCCGTCGCCGTCGCCGTCGTCGTCGTCCACGGCTCGAGGGTCGAGGGTCAAGGCTTCGGGAGCGCTCTTTTGGCTCTCTGGTCGCCGCGCCTGGGTTCCCCTCGACATCCTAGTCGTAACCAAATCCGCGTGGTCTCATCGTCGTCGTCTTCGTTGTCGTCGTCGTCGCCGTCGTCTCTCTGGGATTGGGGAGTGAGGGGAGAAGGAGATGCTGGGAAGCGGGAGGATGGACGAGGAGTATGGAGGTGGAGGTAGGAGCGGTGAAGGATGGACGTGTGGATGAGGATGAGGAAGTGCCCTCCCAGAGCTTCTGGGTTCTGGGGCCGCTCGATTTCTCATCTTGGGCCCTTTCGAGGACGTCTTGGATCCGTCTTGGGGGCTTTCGGGCCGTGTCGAGTCGTGCGCTCATTTCCTTCGTCACTTCGGCAGAGTGTGGAAGTGTGGCGCAGACGCGAGTTGCGCCCTTCCTTCTCCTGACTCTTCCCCTTCTTCCACCTCGTCTCCTCCCTGGCCTCCCTCTCTCCTCCCTCCTGCGGCCGCAGGAGCGACGACCTTTCGGGAATCTTGATTTCTGAAGTACCCGCACGATTTGGCTGTGGGCGGCCAACAACGCGTTTTGACTTTCTGGCTGGACGCGGCTAGCAAAATATGCGCACATGCTTCGAGGAGGGCGCAAACCATGGCCCGTTAAGGAGGAGGAGGAGGAGGAGGAGGAGGAGGAGGAGGAGGAGGCCTCCTGAGGGCTCCCTGGGGGGTACTGGGGGCGTCTTGAGTGCCTCTTGGGGATATTGGGGTCCACAAGGATCCGCTCGGTCGGAGGCCGTCTTGGGAGCTTCGGACCGTCCTGGAGGTTTCTTAGGCCGTCTTGAGGCCCTCTTGGGGCCGTCTTGGTGGCTTCTTGGGCCGTCTTCTTGGGGCCGTCTTGGGGTCCTCGTGGCCCGTCTCTTGACCCTCTTGAGGTCTACTTGGGCCATCTTGAGTCTATCGTGGAGTCCTCTGATGCAGTCTTGGGCAGTCGGATGCCCGAACAGGCGAGATTGCGAACACCCATCCGAAAACCAACATAACCTCTATGATAGCCTCTTCGGGCCCTCGTGGGGGACCTCTTGGGGGGCCGCGTGGGGGGCCTCTTGGGCCGTATTGAGGCTATCTCGGGCTGTCTTGAGTCCATCTCGTGCCGTTTTGGAGGCATCGTGGGGCCATAGTTGGATGCCGTGGAGATCACTTTGGACCGTCTGAGATGCCCAATGGTGCCTCTCGAACAGATGACCCCTCTGGCCCAGTGCTCTGGCGGGACACCGCCCCTCCAAATCGGCAAGGCCATCATTCCTTAGGGATAGGTTTCGGGAAGGACCCCCCCTTGGGGTCGGCGAACCTTGGCCTCTCAGGGACATATTTTGGCATGCTCGGTGTCGACCTCAGAACCATATTGGTGTCCACTTTGGGGCCCCGTAGGGCCATGCTGTATGCAATCCAACGCCATCTTCGAGGCCGTCTTGGCGGACCTGTTGTCGTTTTGCACCACTCGGACTCTCCAGCACTTCGCGACCAGGAGGTCGAGACCCTGGGCAGGGGGCGTTCTGGAAGGAGGGCCTGTTTGTTTTGGCAGAGCTGGTCCGCAGAGCCACCCGCGCCTCCATGGCTTGTGATGCTTCCGCTTGGGAAGACTTGGTTTCATCGAGCCAGTGTGAAGCCCGTGTCCGCGGTAGATCGACGAACATGGATTGCCATCTCTTTGGGCAAATTGTGTCAAACGCGCGTGCACGGCTCTGTTCTCATCGCGGTGCCCGTCCGCGACGGCTTGGTTAGGAGGAAACACGTTAATGATGCACGTCGACATCGCCATCATCACGGTCATCGTCGTCATGATCATTATGTCCTCGAGCTGCTTTTACGAGAGATTTGTTAGCAGCGTTGCGTGGGCACCGCCCTGGCCTGCTCAGCTTACGTGATGTGGGCCCTGTGGTCGAGCCTGGCAGTTGGCGTTGCGCTTGCAGCCATCGCCTTCGTCGCGCTCGGCGGGACTGGGCGCGGCCGGTTGCCTAAGAAGTCCACGATCGTCGGCATGTCCCGCAACAGCACAGAGGACCACAGCAGAGATAGCGGGATTTGCTCTCCACCATCCAGCTTTTGGGCGACGGAATGGTGTGTCAGGAGGGGGAAGAGGAGGGGGAGCAGGAGGAGGAGGAGGAGGAGGAGGAGGAGGAGGAGGAGGAGGAGGAGGGGGGGATGATGCGGGGGCCTCCACCGCCAGAGTGTGCCCGCATGGACCGCTTCTGAAGTCGTGCCCAGGCACCTTGACAGGTATGATGCGTGTAAATTGTACACAGATTGGTGTGTATGTATGTATGTCTGTAGGTATGTTTGTATGTATGGATGAATGTAGGTGCGTAGGTATGTATGCATGTGATTATGTATGATTATATGTGTGTATGTGTGTACGTATGCACGTATACATATAACGGCGCACCGGGTCCGGGGGCCCGGGGCCGGGACCTCGACCGCAAATGTGCACCCCGGGGGGCCCGGAGGCTCGTCGGGGCTTGCCGGAGGCCTCCCCGGTCAGACAAGACGGCCCCAGAAACGCCCAAGACGGCCCAAGAAACTTCCAAGAGGCCTCCAAGAGGGCTCCGAGATGCTGAAGATGGCCTCCAGACGTCCAAGGACGCCCCCCAAGACGCCCCAAGAAGCCTCCAACATGCGTCCCAAGAGGGCCCCTAGACGCAAAAATTGGCCCATTCCCTTCGTAAAACGTACATTTTTCACAAAGTTGCCTTTTGGGCTTTCCGACATTACAGGACGGCCCAAGAGGCGCCCAAGACCGCCCCAAGACGGCCCAAGAAGCTCCCAAGAGTGCCCCAGGACAGCCCAAGAGGGCCCCAAGACGGCCCAAGAGGCGCCCAAGATGGCCCAAGAGGGCCCCAAGACGGGCCCAAGAGGGGGCCCAGAGGGGGACCACGAACCGCAAGCTCGAGCCTTCCGCCCCAAGAGGCCGCCAGGAGGCCCCCAGGAGGCCCCTCAAGAGGCCCCAGGAGACCCCAGACGTCCAAGGACGCCCCCAAGAGGCTCCAAGAAGCCTCCAACATGCGTCCCAAGAGGGCCCCTAGACGCAAGAATTGGCCCATTCCCTTCGTAAAACGTACATTTTTAACAAAGTCGCCTTTTGGGCTTTCCGACGTTACAGGACGGCCCAAGAGGCGCCCAAGACCGCCCCAAGACCGCCCAAGAAGTTTCCCAGAGGGCCCCAGGACAGCCCAAGAGGGCCCCAAGACGGCCCAAGAGGCGCCCAAGATGGCCCAAGAGGGCCCCAAGACGGGCCCAAGAGGGGGCCCAGAGGGGGACCACGAACCGCAAGCTCGAGCCTTCCGCCCCAAGAGGCCGCCAGGAGGCCCCCAGGAGGCCCCTCAAGAGGCCCCAGGAGACCCCAGACGTCCAAGGACGCCCCCAAGAGGCCCCAAGAAGCCTCCAACATGCGTCCCAAGAGGGCCCCTAGATGCAAAAATTGGCCCATTCCCCTCGTAAAACGTACATTTTCAACAAAGTTGTCTTTTGGGCTTTCCGACGTTACAGGACGGCCCAAGAGGCGCCCAAGACCGCCCCAAGACGGCCCAAGAAGCTTCCAAGAGGGCCCCAGGACAGCCCAAGAGGGCCCCAAGACGGCCCAAGAGGCGCCCAAGATGGCCCAAGAGGGCCCCAAGACGGGCCCAAGAGGGGGCCCAGAGGGGGACCACGAACCGCAAGCTCGAGCCTTCCGCCCCAAGAGGCCGCCAGGAGGCCCCCAGGAGGCCCCTCAAGAGGCCCCAGGAGACCCCAGACGTCCAAGGACGCCCCCAAGAGGCCCCAAGAAGCCTCCAACATGCGTCCCAAGAGGGCCCCCAGACGCAAAAGTTGGCCCATTCCCTTCGTAAAACGTACATTTTCAACAAAGTTGTCTTTTGGGCTTTCCGACGTTACAGGACGGCCCAAGAGGCGCCCAAGACCGCCCCAAGACGGCCCAAGAAGCTTCCAAGAGGGCCCCAGGACAGCCCAAGAGGGCCCCAAGACGGCCCAAGAGGCGCCCAAGATGGCCCAAGAGGGCCCCAAGACGGGCCCAAGAGGGGGCCCAGAGGGGGACCACGAACCGCAAGCTCGAGCCTTCCGCCCCAAGAGGCCGCCAGGAGGCCCCCAGGAGGCCCCTCAAGAGGCCCCAGGAGACCCCAGACGTCCAAGGACGCCCCCACGACGCTTCGCGTCACCAATTTCTTCTCACAACGATTCCTGGGTCTGTGACTCGACAGAACCTAAGCGCGCGCGAAGCGCGCGCGTGGTTCTAGTATGTATGTATGGATGTATGTATGTATGCATGCATGTATGTGTGTAGGCATGTATATACATAAGTATGTGTGTATGCATGCATGCATGCATGCGTCGATGTACATATGTACGTATGTACGTATGCATGTATGCGCGTATGTACGTTTGTACGT